ATTGCTATTATTTGGCCATGTCATATTTATAGAGGCTATCTAGCAGATCTTTTAAGAGAATTCGATGCATATTGTGCTTGTGACGGCCAAGATGCTATACGAGTCTTAAATAAACTTGACAGATTACCTGATTTAATCCTTAGCGGTAAGTGATCTGATTTACCGGTAATATATTGTATTGTCGTAAACTGTTGTTTTGCCGTAATAGTAACTTATTGTCTGCCGTAACCTGTTGCTCTGCTGTAACCCCGTATTGTCGTAATTGCCATAACCTCCATATTGTCCTAACTGCCGTAACCCCCGTATTGTCGTAACTGCCGTAACCCCCGTATTGTCGTAACTGCCGTAACCCCCGTATTGTCGTAACTGCCATAACCTGTCGTATTGCCGTAACCAGTTACGGCAAATGTCAGTTGTTACGACCTACGTCATTATGACACTTTTGACGTGACGACACGTCAATTGGACGTAACCATACGTCTTCAAATGTCTGCATCTATATAAGCATCCAATCAATTAATTCATACTCCGTGTTCGATTCGAGACAAAACGCTGCTCCGATGCTTTCGTACCGGGCAGCTAATAAAGTTGAAATTTTGAATTCAGCACCTAACGATAAATTTATTTCGCACGAGATCATATGATTAATTCGTGCGCGTAACAGGAGCGACCGTAGATAGTTACACATGATTATGTGTCTCGAATTTTAGTAAATCGGCCAATCAGGTTGCAGATTCATGGGAATTCAAAGAATAGGTTATAAGGCAAAGCGAAAGCATTAATTCATCCATTAAACTTCTCTCGTTTCATAGAAGTTAATCTACCCGAGCTTTTAAAAGTAGTGTAAAAAATGTATAAAAAATTTATTTATCAATCGTGTAACTATATCGGAATAATCTACGAACGGTCGCTCCTGTTTCTCGCGTGTAGACACATCTCTATTCGGATCAAACCCAAACCAAACTTAAAATCAAGTTTGAAAATTTGTTAAAATTTATAGTTTGAGCTTGAGTTTTATTTGAAAGTTTGATCAACTCAAACTTATCAAAGCAAACTTCAAAGCCTAATCTCATGTACAATATCCTAAATTCTTCATTGCTTACAACAAATTAATTTGATTGACTAATCAATTTTTACTTTTTTTTCTTTTTACTGCATAACTATAAACTCTAATGTTACCAACAAATTACGTATTATTACCTTTACATAATAATTTTTTTAATTCACATGCAATAAGCTATACTGCATGTTGATTAATCGTACCTAATTTTGTTTGCAACGTTAATAAACACCCTACCATACATTATTAAAATTTACCACATACTTTTATATGACAACCTATTTAACTCTTTCAATACCCCTGCGGTTGATTAGAACAATAGTCAAAGTTGAAAACAATGTACGTCGATTAAGTTCTAAATAAACTGCTATCCCTATAAATTTTATGTTTTAGAGATTAAAAAGAACCGCAAATTTCATATTAATTTTAAATTTTCACGCTTTAATTGTGATTTAAGATACATCGTACTCATTTATATAAGATGAATGCGAATTTCTTTGAAACACTTTCAAACAATTATCTTGAAAGTCTTGGCGATGAGGAATTTAATGTGATCATTCATGTTGGAAACTTAAAAATATACAAAGCACATTCACTCGTGTTAAAATATAGATCTTTATATTTTCGCAATGAATTAGCAAACGCAGTCACTGAAAATAATAATGTTAAAACAATTAACTTAAAGCATGTTTCTGTTCAACAATTTGAAATTATTATCAAGTAAGTTAGTTTTATATTATTTTATATTACGATGTATAGTCTATGCTACGTTGCAAGCAATCTAAATACCTTAAAATTTATACGTAGATATATCTATGGAGGTTTTATTTCACTTGAAGAATGTGATGCATCGTTTATTTTTGAGGTTATGCTTATTGCTTATGAACTTCTTCTTGATGAATTGGCTATGTACATTGAAGCTCACTTAGTTGAATTAGAACCTCACTGGCTTCGATTACATTTTAATCGTATTTATCATAAAAGTTTTCAGAATAATAAGTTTCAAAAATTACAAGAGTGGTGTATTAATAATGCTGCAAAGTATCCCGATCTAGTATTCCATTCTAAGGAATTTATCGTTAATCAAGAAAATGCATTAATTTCTCTTATCGGTCGAAATGATTTACAAATAAAAGAAGTAATAATCTGGAATTATATTATTAAATGGGGAATAGAACAAAATCCTGGATTACCGTCCGATCCTAAAACTTGGTCTCATGAAAATTTTCTAACTTTAAAGGTCACTTTAAAAAATTTCTTGCCTCTTATTCGCTATTTTCAGATGTCAGCCGATGATATTATTGACAACGTACAGCCATATCAACAAATTCTGGAAAAAGATCTTTGGGATGACATATTAATAAAGTTTATGTCCCCAAATAGACCAATAAAATCGACAATTCTTCCACCCAGAGTAACTACTCGCATACCTTCAGTACAAACAACTGACCCATTTTCAGCCGTTATCAATGAAGCTCAAGCCGCTGAAATTGCTTCATGGGTTGATGAAAGGGTTGAATTTTATTCGGAAACTAATAATCCTTACGAGTTTAAGTTACTTCTTCGTGGTTCCAGAGATGGTTTTAAATCTGGTTCATTTTGGAATTTATGTAATGAACAAAATAATATTATTGTAGTCATGAAGGTTAAAGGTACTAAGGAAATCCTTGGGGGATATAATCCTATTGGTTGGACAAGACCAACTAAAACAAAAATTACTATGGCATGCGACAAGAGCTTTATTTTTTCATTAAAGAATGATATTACAAGTTCTATTTTAAGTCGTATAGAACGACCGGAAACTGCAATTTCGTGTAACGTTCATGCTGGTCCGACTTTCGGTAAGGATCTTGGTATGTATGGTAATTTCTACAATATGAAAACATGCTTATATAGAAAAAGTTCTTATCGAAAACTGCTAAGAAAAACAAATGAAGCAAAGCCATCAAAAGCATCACAATTTTCAGTGGAAGAATATGAAGTGTTTCAGATCAAAAAAAGTAGTAGAGGGTTTCAGAATTAATGATTTGGCATCTATTTTATAATAGTCAACAACAGAAAGTTTATAGATTTATATGATATAGAACTTTTATTTCACTTTCTGACTTTGAAATTTAGAGACACAGATTTTTTAATTTCTCGCTTATTTCGGAAATAAGTTAATTTTGAAACCCCTAAGTGTGAATGTCTCTTTTGTATTATTCATTTATTATTTCAATTTTGTATTCAATTCATTTATTATTTTGGTCATTAAATTGTTATAGTTTTGGTGCAGCTTTGCATCAAATAAAGTAGTATATTCTAACAAAGGTAACTGTTTATAGTATTAAATACATAGAGATGAATTAAGTTTGTGAAATAACAAAGTGTAATAATGTAATTTTATCACATGTCTTTGTTTGAAACAAGCTTTTGTAAAAAAATAAAAAGTATAATATTTTATATTATTTGTTTTTTTTTTTTATTTTTAACAATTATTTATAAAATTTTAAATATATTCAAATTTGCATCTGATCGAAATTTTTATGACGAATAATTTTATCATTTCATATTCGTTTCATTCGTGCATTCATATTGTTAACAGGTACACTTGTCAACAAAACTCTTGATACTTTGAAGTTGAGTGAATTATAGATTTATCGCAAGTATAAGAACAGGTCTCTATTATAAAGCTTCTTTTCTTTTCTTTTAAAAATCAATTAATTATAGATCATTGAAATTTCACGAAATTATTAGCTTATGCTAAATTCATTGTGAACAACTTTTATTAATGCACATAGGTCAACTAACTTAATATTAAAATCCATTTTATTATAATACTTTTAAGATTTTAAATAAATAGTTCTTGTTATTTGTTTAAATAATACAATAGTTAGAAATAAAATGAATTTTGTACCATTTGATTCGTCTTGCTGAGACGAATAGAATAGTATAAACTTCATCCGATTAGATCACGAGTTAAGTCGATTGGTTTCAATACCTCTATGGCCTATTTACAAGGTTACATAGCGATAGTGAAATCATTAATTAAATTTTTTATAGATCGATGATAGTGTAATAGTAAAATAATAGCAAAAACATATAAAATTCAAACTGCAATAATTCTTGAACATGCAAATTCACACAATAAAACTACATTTATCGGGCTCATTTTAGCATGCTCTTTAAAGTAACGATGCCTTTATATTTATTTATTTTTATTGTTAAGAGCATAGAGGGTATCTCAATTTTCATACAGAATTGTCGCCTTTGTCGCGGATCATAATGAAATTGGAATAAAATGAAATGAGGGGTTTCTATTTTATCTCATAAAAACCTACTTATACTTGTTTATCATAAATTCTACCCCTAAACACTAATCTTGACCTTAAAAAAATGCTAAAAAATGCGCCTCAAAGATTTGTATTTGTCTACTTAACACTAACATATTTTATTTTAATCTGATTTCATTTTAGTCTGTCACAATGAATTTCACTATACTGTGCACCTGCACTATCGCTATGTTTGTAAATATACTTGAATATAGATGTACGCGTTATAAAGGGTTATATATTTTTTCAGTGAGCGAAAAATTACTTTAAAACATATAAACAAGTTACTTAAGTGTAGAAAAGTGGGCAGAGGAAATAAACTGTGTAAGCCAACATCCAATAGTGGTAAAAAGTATGAGCAGTAAGAAGAGTCAAATGATGCCAAAAGAACCAACTACACCAGAAATATATAGAAAAGATGAGACAAATGACAGAAGCACTGGATATCGCTGGAATTCCAGTGATAAAAATCTTCACTGGAAGCTGCTATACCTTCAATTCCATCCAGTTAAGACCAGTTCCAGTAATCCCACTGGAACGTTTCAGTGAGTAACATTATGTTAGTATAGCTCATTTTTGTTATACGGTAGCGAACTTTTGATGGAACAGCTTACCCGATATAAATTCTTTTCCGTAAACGCCATCAAATTAATTATATATCATCACATGAATCTATACGTTTTAAAGCTTTCAATAATTTTTAAAACCTACAGAATAAACCTCCATTGATCAGACCGACATAAATTATATAACTTTACCTAACATAATTCATACATGATATAAATTTAGAAATAAGGGTCCTAAAACGAAAATAATTACAAATAAGGACCCAAAATGAAAATAATTACAGATAAAGGTCCTATATTTGAAAATTATTACAATAAGGACCCAAATATATCGTCAAAATTGCTAGCCGATTTAATCATCTTATTTCGTGATTAAATAGGTGCTTTAGAGTTATCGCTCATTATTGAGAATTACAGTCATACCTCTCTATAGTCAAACTTTTAAAACCGACTCATATAATGCATATAAAATTTAACCTTTATATAAGCACAAAATTCTTGAAACCAAGAGAGAGATTATAGAGAGTTTGACTGTAAAAAAAAATATATAAATAAATTTCGACCGATTGACCGGATTTTTGAAATCCATGTGATGCAAAATGAAAAATTAGCTTGTGTGGCCTAACGGGTTTACTTCTCCAAGCTACCATGTATGATGTCTCGGTCTCCACTTTTAGAACGAACACGATTTTCAATATCACAAGGTCGAAGTATTGCTATATCTCGTGCTTTGAATGTATCCATAAAAGTTGACAAGTTGGATCATGAGAAATTGGCCTTACTCTATGAATGTAGTCATCTTTACACTTGTTAGCTGAAATAGTAAAAGGTATGTACTGGTTTCATTCGTAAAACAGTCAACAGCTTACTTGATTTGTTCATCTTAACTTAGAATTCAACAGAATAACTATTCAAGGCCGAATGAACATATTTAAGTTTGTAAAAGTCTTACCGATCTGTAATTTTGTATCTAACAGGTTTTAAGAAATATATATAAGAAATAAATTTACAGTGTGGATAATGGGTTGACGAATCGAATGTACCCTTTTTATTGTGCATTTTTTGGAATTTATATTCGAATTACTAAGTGATTATTATTCCATTTCTTATGTATTAACAATCAATGATTATATTACGATCATATTCAAATTATTGAAATGGAACTAAATCATACGTTTTTAAGCGTATAATTATTTTGGGCCCTTATTTGTATTAATTTTCAAATCTCGGCCTCTATCTGTAATTATTTTCATTTTTGAGCCCTTATCTGCAAATTCCCCTAAATAATGATAATTATAATATTTTAAACTTTTATATATGTAATTATATAAACTATATACTAATAATATTTTCAACTAAATGTTCGTTTAAATTTTGATTATATTTCATTCTTTACTTGAATTCTTTAATGAATTAGCTCTATTGGCCATCATTATAACTAACTATTTCCGTTTCATTTACGTCATTAGTGTCTGGTCCATTCAACTTTATATTCTTTTTTTTTGTAAATGACTTAAATAAGGCGAAAATGCCTTAAATTTAATAAAGAAAAATTTACTAATTACGCTGGAAAGTATTGAGATACCTGACGATGCTAAGGTGAATGGAGGAATGGGATCAAGTAGGACGCTAGAAGTAATGAATAATATCTAATAAATTTCATATTGTTAGCAAAATTACATATAGTATTTATTAATTTTATATTTATTTAATTTTGATTTTATTTTAAAACATACCTGGATAATAAATTGTGGTATATCTGACAAAAATATGTCAGCGCATGCACCCCAAAAGATTATTTTCAATGACCTGTCGTTAAATGGTGCATTGAACATCTTAAATCCCGCTAAACACGATTTTAACATTAATAATACATCAATATTTGTGCCAGATAACAATGCAATCGTAACAGCAACTCTTCCATGTTTAGAAAACCATCTGACATATTTCTTCTCATTATCCTCATCATCATCATTAATATCCTTCTGATAACCAATTTCGTTATCTTTTTTATCGCCCTTTTCATTATATTTCTTATCTCCATTTTCATTATTTATCTTATCTCCATTTTCATTCTGGCTCTGATCAGAAAATAATATCCAAAATGCTATAAATAAGTTGATTGCGGTGGGGACCACTAAAACTACCACACTAATTATATGAAAAATATAAATTTAATATGATTATCTAATATTATTTGAGTAATATAGAATCTTACCTCGGTATAAAAAGATGTGGGATGTATTTGGAATCAAGAACAATAAATGCTGTGAAGGTGCCAAAACGAAACAAGGCAATACCAAGTTGGAGAATAATAAAGTTTTCGCTCTATATATTATTGTGTATATATTAGACATTAAGAAAAAAAGTAGCGAAAAAAAAATTAAATTATTTTAACTAATAAAAATTAGTACTTCTTCGTATTCTGGTTCTTCTCCTTTCTTCGGCTTTTTTTTTGGCTCTAGCTTTATCACATTTAGCTATTACCAAAGCTCCAAAGAATGCTAACGTAAAAATAGCTATGACTAAAAACAATACAATGAACCTTGTCTTGTGTAAGTTAAAGTGATCTGATACATTTACTATAAAAAGAGATAGGTGAAATTAGTTATTTAAATTTACAACAAATAAATCATAAATATATATATATAGTTCTTACTAGATCGGTGATATCCATAAGTTTCATCTAGATAAGATGTATAAGATCCTGTTAATATATTCGTATAATTTTTATACCGTATTAACTGGTCTAAATTGTCCCATATGTATGTAGCAGTCATTTTGTCATCAGCATTTTTTTTCTCATAAATAGCAACAGAGATAATAACTTTCGATGAATCGGATATATCAAATTGATAATTTTCAGTTGTACCCAATCTCCCTTTCTCTGTAGGAATTCTATCTGTAAGTTCGTCTATTAAAGAATAGGTAAAGTTACGTTTTGCATCGTCACTTAACCCTTGAAAACGCTTAGTTCCATTGACTGTTAGTCGCAATGATCCATAGATGTCATCTAATTTAATCATAAATTTAACATTCATGCATATCAATAAAGATCAACTTTATGAATTTATATTATATTACCAGCGCGTGGTCCATTATTTGAATCATCTATCAATTGATGAAATTCAAATGTTAATAAATAATCTTAAATAAACTAAATTATTGCAATTATATAAAATCAACCTGTCGCAAAAGTCCATACATTCGGATAAATTCCCATTATAGGTTCATTATATTCTGAGCTCTTTATAAAATAATTATCCACCTCTATATAATAACTCCCAAGAGGATCATTGAAAGTACAATTAAGAACATCAATTGTGATGACATTGCCTGAAACATTGCATTGGGTCCAAGTTCTTGCATTAATTTTCAGTCGAAGAATGCTATTTCCATCAAGGTTTTGATAGATAAATAAATTGCCATCATTGAGTGCGATAGGAACTTGATATGTAATGGAAATCCTGAGGGTATTTACTGTTAGATTACTAACACCTATTTGAGGGTACGTTGTGTTCACGTGTAAATTGCCATAACCAGTATCTATAAGATATGAGCATAATTATTGTTTAAAAAATTTCATTTCCATGCTACTGTATTAAATTTAAAAAACATTTTACCATTGTACTGGGAAAGTGGCGGCATATCGGTTAAAAGAAAACTCCAAGAAGTGATCGTTTCATTTAGTACCACTAACATCTTATTATTGTTCAATATATCAAAGGCGCCATACATATTTCCGACAATAGGTTTCAATGGAAAGTTATAATTGGATTGTTGATCATATTCATTGTAAAGATCAAAAGAAAAACTAAAACTTTGTACGGTATATTGCCGAGTTATTAATGCGTATCCTCCAAGAGGTAGTGTTTTAATTATCGGCAAAGTATTGTTGGATTTTGGAAATATTAGATCCAATGACATCACAGTTCCGGAGGAAAAAAATCGTATTCTCACATAAAATGAGTCTGTGGTTGTAGTAGTAGTAGGTGGAGCTGATATAACATTCGGAACTTGACTAGTTTGATTACGTTCTACAGCCGCAATGCATGAATGACCAATAGAAACGTAGTCGACAGAACAATGTAAGCTAGTAAATGTTAAGTTCTGAATATAAAATAACTCGTCGAGGTGTTTTTGCTTGATTATAATTCAACATAATGGCATAAATTCCTGCATCCGCGGAAAATGGAGCGGCTATCGAATTGTTAGAATTTGTATTTCTAATAGTCGTATTGGAGTATACAATCGCATATCCATCGTTTAAAGTTGTAAATGCGGTTACTTGAAAGCTGGTAAAAGCCCCAATTTGGACTATATCACTTTGTATTAAACTGAATTTTCCATCGCCAAGGCTAAAAAGGAAATAAATTTAAACATTGTGCATATGTTGTATGCATCATTAACAAATGGGGGCCTTGCTAGGAAAATGACACTCCATGACTATGTGTATTTAGATGACTAACAAATTGAAATTTTATCAAGTCTACATAGTTATTCTCCTAGCAAAGATCCAAAACACAGAAACG